CTACAATCCATGTCTAAGCAAAAGCTTGTCGAGGAGCGAGGGGAAGAAGGGTGCGATAGGAAGAGATATTCAACTTTGACTCCAATCGAGCTTATCTGGTGGATCAGAGGAAGTAGATGATTCCGAAGAAATTTCACGGAACGATTGCGTATTGTGCATCTGGATCCGTGAAGGTTCAGCACGTATTCGAATCTGTGGTTTGTGGAGGCGTGTTGGAATTCGGAAAGGCGGGGATCGAAGAAAAGTAGAGACAGCCCTGCTGGCAGAAAGTTTTTGTTCTCTCGCTGGGCGAGAGACAAGCAGCAAGTGCATTTGAGAGAAGGAAAGGATTAGCAGAGATAGCAGCTTTGAGGAGCAGCAAACACGGAGTGCCTTCTAGGAGTTGATCGATTTTGGGATGGACGCCAATGAGGGGCAACCGGCGAGCGCGAGCGCCGCGGCGGGCGCCGCGGCGGCCATTCCAGGCAACTCGGGGGACGGCAGTCCTCCAAACTCGACTGCCGGCGGCGGGGACGACCAAAACAGGCAGCAGCAACAGCGACAACCACAACAGCAGCCGCAGCTGCAGCAGCAGCAGCAGCAGGGACACCAGCATGGCCAACCGCAGCAACAAAACGTCGGCGGACTGGCGGCCTCAATTCCGCCGCCGCCCATGATTCCCAGAGCCCCCCAACCTCAGCTGATGCAACAGCAGCAGCAGCAGCAGCAGGGACACCAGCATGGCCAACCGCAGCAACAAAACGTCGGCGGACTGGCGGCCTCAATTCCGCCGCCGCCCATGATTCCCAGAGCCCCCCAACCTCAGCTGATGCAACAGCAGCAGCAGCAGCAGCAGGGACACCAGCATGGCCAACCGCAGCAACAAAACGTCGGCGGACTGGCGGCCTCAATTCCGCCGCCGCCCATGATTCCCAGAGCCCCCCAACCTCAGCTGATGCAACAGCAGCAGCAGCAGCAGCAGGGGGCCGGGAACAACCCGAACGTCTTCTCGCTGCTACAACAGCTCGTCAATCAGGGCCACCGCCAGCAACTACAGATACGGTCTCTCCAGGAGGTGGTGGTAAACTTGACCGGCAACCGGCAGCCCGCGCAGGGCGCCGCGGCCCACAACAATGCCCAGGGCGGCTCCAATAGCCAGTCCGTAGCCCTCCGCCTGGCCCAAGCGCCGCCGCCGCCGCCGCCGCCGCAGCAGCAGCAGCAGCAGCAGCAGCCGCACCAACATCAGCAGCAGCAGCAGCAGCAACAGCAGCAGCAGCAACAGCAGGAACAACCTCACCAGCAGCAGCAGCCGCAACCGCTGCAACAGCAGTATCAACACCAACAACTTCAGGCCTACCCCAGCCAGCACTACTACCACCAGTCGGCCGCGCCGCAGGGATACCAACAGCTCGCGAGCATCCCGGGGGCCGCGCCTGTATACAATGCCCATCGGCTGAAAGAAGCCCAAAAGCTGGAGGGCCGCACGTGGGAGAAGGACGGGCTGTTGGTATGCCCTTGTTGTGTGACCTCCAGAGTCCAAAGAGTGTTGTTAACGTCATGTATTATCGTAGGGGGACATGAGGGAGAAGGAGGGAGAAAGAGTGCCAGGCCCAAAGCCAGTCGAAAAGGGGGCCCGCAACACGTATCTCAAGGTCTCTCCTAGCCGCCCCTCAAGGCAATCCCATCTGCGGCACACGAAACCGCCAGTGATTTGGTACAATCCGACCGCCCGAACACGGTCAAGCGGCCCTGTACCTAATGCGTGGCGCTACCTTCTCGCCTATCGTCATGACGGGGGGCGAGCTAGACCACATCATTCGGGACGTGGTCCACCCGCACCCGGACCTGCACGCGCTGCTTTCCTTCAGCGCCATCGACATCGCGGCGTTCTCGCCGCCGCACCCCCCGGGGGTAGCGGCGGTGACACGCACGTTCGACGTGCATCTCGACACCTTCATTCGCGTCGTGGAAGTCTTCATCAAGGACGGCATGGCGGGCGCCTCTGCGGCCGGGGCCGACCGAGTTGGCCTGTTTTTCCGGGAACTCTTCAGGATCTCCGAGAACCTCCGCCGGTACTCGTCCCGCCACTGCGCCGAGTTCAAGGGCCGCGAGGCCGACGTCTTCGCCAGGTTCAAGCAAGACGCCAATCTCGATTGGACCGATTTCGTCATTCATCTGACCACCGAAGCTAGGGCGCTCCGGCAGCGCAACACCCTCGCACCCCCACCCCCCAATACGGTGGGGGCGATCCAAGTCCCGCAGTTCTCAAGGACGTTGGTCCTGATTGCGGAGGGTACGGCTTCTTCGATGGTGGGCCTTCTGCAGGGGGGTCTAGCCCGTCAACAACAGCCAAAACCGTCGTCCGCGAGCACCAAGCGCAAGGCTACTTCCCAGGGTCAACCTGCACGCACCCCCGTTGCCCCAGTCCCGTCCGCTTCCACGGCAGCCGCCACCGCGTTTGCACAGACCGTCGCCGCCTGGAACACTCCCGACAGCGAGTGCTTCTACACGTGGTCGGGCAGGAACTGCACACGCCCGCGGTGCGAGAAGGGGCACAACCAGCGGCACCCGTCACTCTTGCCTGCCGTTCCTCCCCCCCCCCCCCCCCCCCCCCCCCCCCCCCCCCCCCCCCCCCCCCCCCCCCCCCCCCCCCCCCCCCCCCCCCCCCCCCCCCCCCCCCCCCCC